GCCTTTGTTGCTTAGTTTTCCAGCTCGCATACTCGTACATTCCATGTACTGATGCCAGTTGGCCTGCATCGTCTTATGATGCAGATACAGGTACCCCGGATCAGCATCCTGCACGTCGTTGATCCAGCTGAGCACTCCAGAGTCTGCGGTGAGCCTCCTTGCATTCCGGAGGACTCAATTATTTTATGTTCTTAGTTTTGTTTTATTAGGGTGTTGCGGGGTCTGTCCCAACATCCATCTTAGTATTTTAGAGGCTTCATAGACAGTCAGTCAGTTAGTTTTGAGTCTCTCATCCATGTATATGTATGTATATGTAAATATTCTATTTTGAGATTCGAGTTGCCTTTATGGCCATATTTTATAAGTTAAGTTGTTTTGTAACATTGCATTGCATTGAGTTATTCTCTTGGGTTAGGTTTCCGCTGAGTTAAGAAAGCCAGGCCAAGGGTTCGCTTGGGGCCAGAAATGGTCTCCGGGTGCCGGTCCCGCCCAGGGTGTAGGCTCGGGGCGTGACAATTTTCGCATTAAGTTGTATTAATTAAATAAACAATAACTTAGAATTTTATTTTTTAAAGGTTAATTGGGAAGCATGTAAAAAACTGTATAAGTAGTTTTTATTGAACCATTTTCATGTACTATCTTGAATAATTTAGTAACTTTTAAGAAATTATCTTAATAAATAATGTTTTATCACTCTTATAACAGGTAAAAAGTTAAAATTAAGTTTGAACCCGCCACCCGCTCCGCCCCGCATTAGTTTTTAAAAAACTCACTTCAACTCGCCCCACATCCCAACTGCCCCACCCCGCATAGCCTTAAAATCGCCCTGCCACATTGCCATCCCTATTAGTGATATCTGTTAATCAATAACTTATTAGTTAATTAATCTTTTTTTTTTATAGTAATTATGATCATGACAAGCTTTCTGCAAATAAATTTCAGATATTCATCGCGAGCCAAGGCACAAGATTTTGAGATTTATGCTCCAAATGCAACATTTGAAGATCCCCTTATGCATGCAGAGGGGTATGCTAAACTTGTCTATCCTTTCAAGCGTCTAGTAATTAGTTTGTTCCTTTTGTAATCCTGACTATGAATTTTACTGTGGATTGCAGGGTAAAGCAGGTTAAATTGTCATTACATTCGCTTGGGAAGGTCTAAATAATTTACTTCTTGCTAAGTGTCCTATTTCATACTAGTATCCTACTATGCTAGATTGATACACTTTATTGTGGAAAGAACAAAAAAAGATATAGGAAAGAACCTTTTGGAAAATCGCATTGCGCGATACAGTTTTAAAATCAGTTTTGCTTCTAAAATATGGATATCATAACTCATTTCTTGAAAAGAATACATCACAAAAATATCAAAGGTTCCCAGCATAATCTCTGTTGTATGTTGAGAGACTAGTGTAACTACTATGGTTTACGTCAAAAGTTCTTAGCCAATCCTTTCTTCTTAAAGTTAATCAATTTATTACTATATTATGTCTTCCTTTAGGCTTGGGATTGTTGTGTATGGATAATGTCAAACTGTTTCTTTTTGTACATTTCAGGTGTTCAGTGAGTCGAGAATCGTGGAGTACAACGTCATACAAAAAGAAATTTCTCCTGGAAATAAAGAGGTTTAAGATACATCCATCCTATTGCATCTTCTTTTCGCTTTGTTTATTCTCTTCTTTAGAACTCTGACATTAAGGTTGATGGCTTCAGATTTTAATTGAAAACAAACAATATTACAAGTTCTTGGGGAAAGACATTCATATGATATCACTAATCAAGTTGTACACAGAAGGAGGAAAGGTTGTTCGTCATGAAGATTGGTATGTATATATTTCACATCAAGAATTCTCGCCATGACATTCTAACATTATTTTTCAGTTTGTGTAAATGTAAGAGGCAAGTAACACTTTGTTTCGCCATAGTGTACTTCTTTAAGTATGTTCATGTTCTGTGCAACTTCACATGTTCGATAAACTTAATCCTAAAGTCGCACAAATTCATGGTTGGTTAATGCCACTTTTAGCTATCTCTGTGTTCTTGACGAATGACATAATTTTGCCAAAAGATGTTTCATTTTTGGTAAAACGGAATAAGGCTTGCTAAGTTGTGTTCTCCCTCATTGGTATAATGTGACTTGAACCCTCGACCAACAAGCTTAAGGCAGAGGAGTCTAACAAATTGAGCAAGTCTCACTCGTCTTGCCAAAATATACTCTTATATAATGTTTTGTGTACTCGTCACATGACATACTTTTGCAAAAAATGTTTCTTTTTGGCAAAACGAATGAGCCTTGCTAAGCTGTACTCCCCCATATTTGCTTACAACATGACTTGAACCCTCGACCAATATAATTGGTTAAAGGTGGAGGTGTTTCACCAACTGAGCAAGCCTCTCTCGTCTTGCCAAATATATTCTCTATATATATAATATAATGTTTAGTCATATAGTTTATTCCTATTTTTTGAGTGGTTGTCAAACAATTTTTGCAGCTGGGATAAGAAACCTTTATGGAATAGGGAGACAATGAAGGTACCACTTGTTGGTCGTGTGATGAAGGTATCTCGTAGAGCTTCGATGCTTTTCACAGATGCACTAATGGGGTTTGGAAAAGATCCCTCCATGTAAATTGTAGTGCACTATTTATAAGTGTTTGAGGATGTATGTAACATCCGGCAATTTGAAATAACTATGAAAAAGCTTGGAAATTGGAAATAGTCATTTTTGGAAAAATTTAAAAATCTGGAAATTGGTTAAGTGTGGAAATCAGTGAGATTTTGGCCAACTTTGAGCGGTCATAACTCCTAGCTCAGGATGAGTTAGGAGTAGTTCCAGTTATGGTTGTGAAGCTTGTGTAATGATCTATCCAACGCCGCCGAGTTTGCTCGATTCCGAGTTTGTATGAGCGAGTTATGCCCTTTGAAAGTTGGGCAGTTGGCAGGGAGTCCGTCTGGAAATTTTAAGGGCATTTTGGTCTTTTCCCTAGCCATTTGTTTTGGGATTGTATTGTGTGTTAGGCTTATTTTGGATCATTTTTGGTCCCATTTTAAAAGAGAAAGAGTTAGGGTTCTTGAGAGTGAAGAAGAGAAGAAGAAGAGAAGAAGAGGAGAAGAAGAGGAGAAAGGGAAGATCAAGCAAAGATTCTTCAAGATCATCGTGGATTTTCGTCGGGGGTGATCCCTATCAAGGTATGTGAGTTCTTAGTGTTGGGTGATCCTTTCCCCCCCACACACCAAGCTCATTTTTATGATTTGAGAAAAGATTGAAATTGTTGTTGAAGTTGTTAGTTGTTGTTGATGTTGATAGTTGTGTTGTTGAAGTTATTGTTGGTTGTGGGACATGATTGGGTTGTGTATTTGAGTTGAATCTTTTGTATGTTGAGGGATTTTATGATCCTTAGTGTTGGTTGGTTCATACCCCCACACACCAACTCATTTTTAATTCCAAGAAAAGATTTATTTTGGTTGTTGAAGTTCTTGCTGATTTGGGACAGGATTTGGTTGTGTTTTTGAGTGGAATCCACTGTATGTTGAGGGGTTTATGACCCCAAGTGTTTGGGAAAAGAACCTTTGAAGTTAAGAGGGTTAGAGTTGGCAACATGAAGGCGAAAAGTCAGGCTGCTTTCAGGAAACAAGTCTGCGTCGCGGCTGTGTTCCCTCTGTGAGCAAAATCTGCTCTATTTTCAGAATTTAATTTCGTAATTCTTCTTAAGCGTAGCTGTCCTAAATTATTCCTAAACATCATGGGGTCCTTCCAAACACAAATCATTACCCTTGAATTCATAATTCCAATTCAAGGAAAGTTAGTTAGAAGTCAAGTGAAGTTAGAAGTTAAGAGTTAAGCTTAGAGATTAAGCAAGTCAAGCAGGTTGTAACGTTGTTCAAGAGTCTTTATTGAACGTTTTAACTTCATTTTTAGACTCAAGTGTCAAGTCAAGCAAAGAGCTTAGAATTTCAAGCTAAGTAAAGAGTCTCTAGTTTCAAGTTGAGTAAAGAGTTTAAAGTTGAGTTCATTTCTCAAAGTTATTAGGGAACTATGTATTCCCAAAGAAGTTTTAAAGAAATGTCTTTACATTTAAACAAGGTTGGAAACTGAGATTTCCAAAGAGCCTTTCGGGCTAGTTTTTGAGTAATTATCTCATATCAGCAGGAAGACATATGTTTTAAAATCATAAGAGCCAGTACATTTTTTTGGAAGTAGTATCGAGCACCAAATTGGGGGAGCGTTCAAAGAACCCACAGCCCCCATAGAACCATGTTAGCCACCATGGGTAGAAAAGGATCATACTTTTTAGATGAATCCTTTTCCAGATAGACTAGTGGATCCATTAGGCAGTTCAGGTCTTATACCTTTGACCGGGTATAAGATGCTCTGGCAATGTGAGGTCGATCGCTGTATCATCACTATTGCTCTTATGTGATGGTTGTCGGTTTGAGAAGCTCCCACAACAGTTATTGTATTTTTATACACAGAAATTATTGTATTTTATATACATCAGTTCAATTGTATTTCTATATACATCTCAGGTTTATTGTATCCTTGTATACACACAGAGTTTATAGCATGTTTTAAACAATCTTTCTTTATATCGCGCTTGTTTTGCCTTAGATTGAAAGAAGTCAGTCAGGTTGAGTTAAGTTGAGCAAGGTAAACTTTTTAGTTTCTTCCAAATTTCCTTCTAGCCTATGTTGCTTAGTTTTCTAGCTCGCATATTCGTACATTCCATGTACTAATGCCAGTTGGCCTGCATCGTCTTATGATGCAGATACAGGTACCCCGGATCAGCAACCTGCACGTCGTTGATCCAGCTGAGCACTCCAGAGTCAGTGGTGAGCCTCCTTGCATTCCGGAGGACTCAATTATTTTGTGTTCTTAGTTTTTGTTTTATTAGGATGTTGCGGGGTCTGTCCCAACATCTATCTTAGTATTTTAGAGGCTTCATAGACAGACAGTCAGTCAGTTAGTTTTAAGTCTCTCATCTATGTATATATGTAAATATTCTATTTTGAGAATTCGAGTTGCCTTTATGGCTATATTTTATAAGTTAAGTTGTTTTGTAATATTGCATTGCATTGAGTTATTCTGTTGGGTTAGGTTTCCGTTGAGTTAAGAAAGCCAGGCTAAGGGTTCGCTTGGGGCCAGAAATGGTCTCCGGGTGCCGGTCCCGCCCAGGGTGTAGGCTCAGGGCGTGACAATGTAATTTTTTTTTCACTCTGATTAAATATGTTGAAGTAAAGTCACTTATTGATCCTCCATTTATAGAGTGATAGACTTATCTCGTCAAATGTCAAGAATTGAATGGCAAGGCACAATTCTTACGAGTTCTTCTCACGATTTTTGTGCAATTGAAGCATGCAGACAGAACAAAAACACTTTGACTATTTTTTTAAAGGAAAATGCATAAGTACCCCCTAGACTATGACCGAAATTCCAAAGACACACCTAAACTTAACTAGAGTTCTATTACCTCCCTAAACGTAACTAATTTAAAATGGAATAAACACACCCACAAATGCTGACATGTCATAGAGAGTGTGCACACTTTCTTGAAGGCAAGTGATGAGTGCACAAATTGGACACATGTCATTTTTTAATTGAAAACTTTATAATTAGTCAGTACACATATTTATTGATAATTAAACGGGAAAATGCATAAGTACCCCCCCCCCAGCCTATGTCCAAAATCCCTGAGACACACCTAACCTTTACTAAGGTCCTATTACCCCC